GAAATGAAGGGATAAATAAGACTAATATAACATGAACATATCTTCTTATTCTTGATACATATGAGACCGAGCAAAAAATAAGTTAAAAAAAGATGAATATAAATGTGAAAGATACGTGATTAATCAAGGTTCAAAAACCTTCCATAAATATGTTATGATTGAAATAAAATATGAGATAATCAAGGACCTTTTATATAATAAAAGAGCCAGTAATCCATAAATCAATTCAAAAAAAAAATCAACTATTATAAAGATGAAAAAAATTAAATAAATTGATTAAAGCTTGATCCAAATTTTGACCAAACTAAAAATAAAACCAAACCAAATTAATTTTTACAAAAACTGATCAAGCTTCACTGATGAGTAAACAAATTGATTTGGTTCAGCTTAGTTTTTATGCAAAACCAAACCAAACCAAATTTAACCCTTGAACACCTTTAAATTTTTCCCATCCAATCTCTTCATTTGAATACTTTTTTCCTCTTGGCAAACATGGCCTTGTGGTCAAAAGGTCAAGTCTTCCCTAACTTGGAGCCTGCTGTCACTTGGTCATTTTTTCGTCGAGGTTTTGTGCATTGCCGCGTCATCGTGCTGAAAAAATAGGATTAGAATGGCCCACATATTGATAAAATCACACTTCTGTTAAAGGCAAAAAAAAAAAAAGATAGGATAACACTGAAGATATTAATATTGATGATTTCTTCATACAAAATTAAAATTTCTCAAAATGGTTAAATTAATTTCGTTGCTTTTAAATTTATATTACTATTTATGAAATAATTGTTCATTAATTAGATTTTTCTCCTAATCAAGTACCAGTGGTAATAATTTACTTTCTTTTTAAATAGATATTATCCTACTCCCTCCATTATCTTTATAAATCACATTTTAAAAGATTTCTTTAATCTTTTATATAAGTTACTTTTTTTATTTTTGTAACATTTGATGTCAGCTTTCAATTTTCAAAAAAATTTTTCCTAAATATCAAATCACTTTTTTTAAAATTTAGGTACAAAATTAAAAAATAATTTATTTTCAAAATAATTTTATTATTATAACTATTTCATTTTAATTTTAATGAGTAAGTTTGAAGTGAGTTTATAATAAAATAGAAACAATATTCACTAAATATGGCGTGGGAGATGGTGAAGGTAGGGTGGTGCAGGAGTCCTCTAATCCTATTCGATCCAGTTTGATTCGAGAAAGTTCGATCCTGTCCGATCCTATTAAAAGTTGATCCTTTAGGACTGAAAAGATTAAAAAAGTCAGATTATTTTTTTGGGTTTGACTGGACAGGAGACTGAGCATTTGAACTACTTGATCTAGTCTGGTCCTATTAAATTTATTTAATATGATTATAAATAATTTACTAATAATTTATAATAATAAATTAAGACTATTAATAATTTAATAAGTCTGGTTCTTCGCATGGCCGCATGCTCAGACTAGTAATTTAATAATTTGAACCACTTGAACTGTAACTGAATCTTTTTTTCTTGTTGTTGGGAATTATTATGAATTTATTATGATTATAAGTATTTTTATTATCTTAATTAAGTTTATTAGGTTGAAATGAATTATTGTCTCTCATAAAAAAAGAAAAAAAAAAGATAAATAAATATCGATCTAATAGCACTAGTCTCCCAGTCTTCAAGACTAAGTATGGTCTAATTAATCTTCAAATTATTAATAGATCAGATTGAACTATGAATTACTTAATTTAATTTTTTTATAAAAAAGATCAAATTTTAAGTTAGGTAAAAATTTAATTTCATTCAATCTTTTGTCCAGTCTTGAGTGAAGATGATACTATAATAGCATTATAAATAAAGGACGCTGCTATTGCCGACATATTTCGGGAGATGGTCCCATTGTATGAAAGTGGATTAAAAAATGAAGTAGGGAATGATTAATATAAAGAAAAAAAAAATACAATACACGCTTGTTTTGCATGAAAATAAATAAAAGAAACAATGAAGACTTAAAAACGATTTTTTTCTTTTAACATTTTCGAAACAATAAAACTTGTTTGGTTAATGAGTTTTTAATTTTTATTTTGAAAACAGTTTTTAATTTTTTTTAAATACAAGAAAACCAGAACAACTTTTAATTGTTTCTATTCCTATTTTTTTTGTTTTTACCGCGTAAAAGTGGGAAACAAAAAATGTTATTTCTGTTCCCATACTACTAGGAGGAGGGTTTGGTGATCACTGATTCAAACATTTTTGTCTTCCTCAACCTCATGCTGCTCTGCTATTTGATTTCTTTTGATTTGATCTCCCTATAATTAGGCTTATGTTAAGGATTTCTTCTATTTATACAAAATGATTGGTTTATAATTTTCAATTGATTCTACCCTATTCTGCTTAACTATATCTCTATCTCATTTATTATAATAATTGTAGATTCTTTTAGTATTTATTAGAATATCTCATTTTATTATAATATAAATTTCTCATTTCTCAATTTCTGAACTTGCATACATAACTTTATAGACTTAACATATTTTTATCTAATTAAATTAAATAAATAAATTTTTATGTGCTAATAATATTAAATAATTACATGTCTATCTTGGTTTAATTAGAAAATTAAACAAATAATTTTACATCTATAAGTTTTTATGTTTTTATAAATATTGCTCATTTTGTAAATTGTAAGGAAATTCTAAAAATAAATTATACTTTATTGGCAGCAATATATAGACTAATTCTGCCAAGCAAAATAACATCCAAAACAATTTTTATCAAATGAGTTTTATTATATTTTAGTTTTTAGAACTTATTTTTAATATTAATTTTGCCAAGCAAGTTTCTTTGTTTTTTTAATTCTAACATTGTTTTTGAATTACTGTTACCAAACAAGTTCATTTTTTATTTATCCTCAAAAACAGTTTTTAAAATTGTTTTATAAAATAACTTGTGAAAATAAAACATGAAAACAATAACCAAACAAGCCCTTATATTGTCAACAAATCAAGTCCTTCCACATTTTTATTATAAGATATAATCAAGTCCTAAACTGACAATTATTTAAGGATAGGGAGTAGTTTACATAATTTCTTCATTCATTTATTATTATAAGATATAATCTCTTTGTTTCATTGTAATTTTTATTAATTACTTCTAACATATTTTACTAAAACTAAAATAAATTTTATAACTCATGAACTCTTTCTAAAACCTCAATAAGTTTTAAATTTTATCCATATTAAATAAACATATTTTAATAACATATTTTTCAGCAACATTTAATGAGAGGTGAAAATAAAAATTCGTAATAAAAAGTTAATGATATGGTGTTATAAATGGAACTGAAAAATAAAAATTTTATTTCGAACATTTCAACTTTAAATATAATTCTTTAGATTAGTTTACATTTTTAAATTATGTGAATTAGTTGAAATCTCTTATATTTATTTTGATTGGTTATAGGCATCCACCTATTGAAAGTATGATCGATCACAAAAAAGTGATAACTTTTTTCAACAAATATTTTAGAAAATTCTCCTGTATTTAAAAATGAAGGGAGGATGAATTAGTTAAAAATGAGGAGTGATAAATTTAGCCAAGCATATATTAACAAGACAAAGCAGCATGTGGTTTCCTACGCGTCAGCGATAGGAATTGGGTTTGATTCAAGGGTTGCCCAATAAATGAGAAGAAAAAAGCAATACAGACATATATTAATGGGGTCTGTTTGTCAGCCACCTGTCACCCAACTCCAATTAATTACTACTTGATGACCCAACCTTATCTATATTAATGATTTTCCTCCTTAGGTATGATAGCACGATCATCCGTTAACTAGCCATCACCTATATGCACCTTCTCTTATGTCTTCTCTCCAATGCACTCGCCTCTTCCGGCGACGGCACCACCGCATTCTCTCCCCCTTCTACTATGTTTATTCTCCCACTCTCCCCCTCTTCCCCACAGTTTTCATATTTTCATTGATCTGAGTTTGTTAACATTAATAAATTGTTGGAACTTGGAGGAATTTAAAAAAAAAAAAAAACTAGCATCTTGTAATTAACGTACAACTTTCTCAACCTGTCAACTTCTTTTAGTTCAAATGAAGATAAGTTATTATTTCAAATTCAAGCTCTTCTTACATCAATTTAATTGAAAAAAATTTTTTATCTTGTTTTGTCTTGAAAAATAACTTTTAAAAATAAAATTGGGAAGAAAATCATCAAACAAGTCCTAATTTTTTCTCAATTATTTTTTATTATTAAATTCTTAAGGTGCCAGATATTTTTTTTTTTCTGGTAAAAGTTGCCAAATATTTTATTTTCCAACAGTCTATCCCATATTTGTCTAAATTGATTCATACCACTCCTCGCTCTCCAGGTTAAATTCTTTCTTTCTTTTTTTGGAAAATTGGCTTAGATGGAGTAAGCCAAACATATGAAACTTCGTGCAAAAGAAATCATTCATAAACTGAATGACTCATATTTTTATTTTTTTAAATTCTGCACAAAACATGAAGCTCATCCATTTATGTTGTCTAATTATTATTTTTTCCACATAAAATAGACATGCTACAGTTTGGTTCAGTTATTACCGTGAAAAATATAGAATTGGCTTCTTTGGGTTGAGGAAAGTCTCCTCTGCCTGCCCGCCAAAGCAAAACCACATCTAAATCGTTTAGATTTAATATTTTTAATTTATATTTTTAAAATAAAAATAAATAGCAATTATAAAAAAAATTAATAAATATATTTATCAATCTGATAGTCCAAATATAATATAGATAGTTTAAATTTTACATTCATCAATCTAACAGTCTAGATTTAATATAAATAGTTTAAACTTAATATCAAATTTTTAATATTAAATTTGAACCATCCATATTAAATCTAAATTGTTAGATTGATAAATATATTTATTAAATTTTTTTAATAATTTTTATATATATTTTTATTTTAAAATATAAATTAAAATTAAAAAATAAAAATGTTAAATTTCAACCATTCAAATAAATTTAAATAATCCAGATTTACCTCGACCTCTTCTTCCCTCAATGGAGGAAAGCCGACTCCCAAAAATATTCAAGTGTTGATTAAAGTGAACACCACCTTGCAATAAAATTGCAGTGAAAATGATACTATTTAATTTAATAGAAAAGAGAAAAAGTAAAATACTTAGCCCAGTAATGTAAAAAACAGCTCCAGTGATCACTCTCAAATTCTTCACTCTCAAATTCTTCACTCTCACATTCTTCATCCCAGGGCAAGGAATAAAAGAAGCTTAAATCACGACGACAAAGAAAATCAGCGGGTGGCGGAATGTCAAGAGGGAGTGATAGATCCATGAGAGGCGGAGTCGTCTTATGAGAGTGAGAGTGCGCAAGTGATCTCAAAATTGAAACTTGAGGAATGCTGCTGTCTCCTGCTTTGCCAATAACTTCACTCTCCTTTAACATCAATTCTGTCAATAGTGACCAACGAGTAATGGCATTGGGAAGTTTGAATAGTGGCATATCATCATCAGTGTTATTTGTTTGTGGCATCAACACTTCCTCTTGCTCAACTCCCTTATCATTATCATCATTACCCACCTCTCTTCCCCATGGCCCCCCATCTTTGCTTTCTCCACCACGTCTCCTTACCTCCACATTTACTAATGAGTCAGGCCACCACTCGTCTTCGCTTTCTCCACTACGTCTCCTTACCGTCAATTCTAGTTTTGAACTTTTTGAACCATCAACGATTGACATTTTCTGAAAAGAGAAGTGAGAGGTATAATGATGGTTGAAATCCCCAAACTCAATTGGACCCTTTGACCATTCAACTCTCCTAACAAATGGAAGTAAACACGCCAACCTCTGTGCCCCCATTTTTAGCTCTGCCATTTCCCTATTCTCCAATGGCATGTGCACGTGCTTATATCCAAAACCACACAAAATCCTACCCTCCTCACATGCCAACATCTTCATCCTCACTTTATTGAATGCCAACTCGTGAAGATCCAAATAATTGAACACATACACCACCACCACACTTCTCCCTTTCATAGTGCCACCCATCTTTATCTGCTTTCTCCTACTCTCCTCTAGACCTAAATTAAAAAGCTCGGGCATGACAGTTGAAGAATGGATTTGATCCAAACTTATACAACCACTAGCTTCTAACTCTTTAAGATTTGGAGCCTGAGACAGATCTGGGAGTGCCTTGAGATATCTCGACTCGCTTACATCGATGTACTTTAAATTTGGAAAATCCTGCAAACAAAAACGCGTGTAATAAATTAGATAATAACTAAATAATTTCATCATGAATTCCTCTCACCACAATTAAAAATGACACATTATTATGGAGGAACTCAATCAACGCATTTAGAACATGAACTGGATTTAAGACAAACATAGTCCATAATGCTTGAATTAGTAGCTTATTGCTGACAAACGAAAAAAATGATCACTGCTTCCTCAAGCATGCTATGACTACAGTTTTACCATCCATGTCCCGGTGAAGCAAATTAACGTGAGCATTGTGAATTATTTGTGACATCCGCTTGAGATATCTTGCTACAAATTAAAGATCAAGAGGCTCTCCGCATAACGCTTTAAAAAAAAAACTATCTTTAGACATTGGAAAAATGATATGTACCATATCTCCTTTCCAAAGTTGTTGAATATGACTATCACGCATTCGAAATTCAACAAGATTCTGTGAACTTGATTTTAATGGCACATATGATAGAGGACATCCTTTCCAATTAAGAAACCTTAGTTCCTCTGAAAGATAATCCACGTCTTTCCCAATATTAAACACTAAAGGCTTCCACGGATCAGACTCGTAAACCTTCAGGTATATTAAATTATACATCTTTTGAAATTTAATAGACCTCGATGTCCTTTCTTTTATCTTGCTCATATCCACCGACAAGCATCGAATTGCCTCCGGCCCCTTGAAAGAAAATCCACAGGAAAACACACACAATTATTATTAACATAAACAATGGCAAAAAAGAACACCACAAAACAATCAAATATACTTGCTTTTCAAAATATCTAAACCAATAATGCTGTAGTCCGACTTATTTAAACATTATTTCAATCATGTCTTCATGACAATAAATGAATTCCACAATATACAAGAACTTGCAGATACGCATGCCTATATTCATTTACCTCAATGCAACATTAGTCATTAAAATTGAGAAAAGTTTTCTTAAAGGAGTAATCTAATTTGAAAAAAAAAATCAAAACACGGAGACAAAACATAAGATAAGAAAACGTAATAGTTTTTATCTCATTCACGTCCAATGATAACCATTTGACTGCCTCAGGAGCCCAGTGAGAAAAAAATCATGCGGGAAAATAATAAATATATAAAGATTGATCAAACAACCAATAGAACAATTGATTAAATATATTCCTTTCCAAAAATCTAAATAAAACTGCTTTTTCTGTACTAAAAGAAAAATCAACATTTATAAACAATTTTATAACTCATTCAAAATCGTACGTCCACTTAAATTATATTTTACTATTACAAACACCATACTAGCCATATATATATATATATATTGTTTATATAATCTATATCAAAGCCCAACAAGACGAATATGTCACCTTTAACGCAAAAGCTGTCCCAAATAATTTTAGTCATTTAAATCAAGAAATGATATCTTTTACGAGCAATCTAATTATAAAAATTTAGGATATACCCCAATGCAATATTAGTAATTTAAATCGAAAAAGGTTTTCTTAAAACAGTAATCAAAATAAAAAGAAATTCAACACATAAAAACAAAACGGAAGAACTTCAAGATAAGTAAATATATATTCACATCTACTTACTACCAAAGATTTTATTGAATAAAAAACATGCACGCAAATAAATATCAATAGCCAGGAATCTAATAATTAAGATGATAAAGAAACAAGATAAAAATAATAATAAACAATAGTTTGAATTCTCAATTATTACCTTGTTACTCATAAAAAAATAATCATCAATGTCCTTGGGCCTCCAGAGTCGAACAAGATGTTTAGGATCAGAGAATGACCGTTGCCTTGCAATTTGAAGGCCCATTTCCCTCACAAGATCATGCATCTGAACATTGCCATTTTCATCAAATGAAATGAGGGATCTCTCTCTAAGAACACTTGTATCAATATCTGTAGAAGAGCCATGGATTTGTCTTATTAGGTTCAAAGAACAATCATGTTGTTTCTTGATTAAAAATGCTATATCAAGAAACACTTCTTTCTGTTCCTCATCATCAAGTCCATCAAAACTCAATTTCAGTACATTAACAATGTCATTGTGAGGAGTTTGATTTAGTTTATCCAATGCACTTTCCCATTCTTGTTTTCCTCTACCATGAAAATAACAACCCAACACTGTGAGGGCTAAGGGATTTCCTGCACAATAATCCACTGCACAATTTGCTAACCTCATATGGCATTTAGATGGCTCATCCTTTTGCTTGAAAGCTTTCAAACTAAAGAGATCAAGGGCATCCTTGGAATCCAATTTTGAAACCGAGTATGTTGTTGCACGAGCATTCCTAAGCACATGCTCATCTCTCGATGTGATCATAATTCTACTTCCTTCCCCAAACCATTCACATACTCTGATCAAATCTTCAACTGCGATGAACTTGTCCACATCATCAAGGATCAGAAGAATTTTTTTCTGCTGGAGCCTACTTTTCACAAAGTCTGATTTCATATTGTAAATGTTGATATCCTCATCTTTCAGTAATTCTTTAAGGCATTGTCCCTGCAATTCATCCAATCCTTTTCCTACTAGTTTTTCTCTAACATTTTCAACAAAACAGAAAGCTTCAAATTGTGCTTTCAAATTGTCAAACACAGCTTTGGCAAGAGTGGTCTTGCCAATACCACCCATGCCCCATATTCCCACAAGGCGAAACTCACGTAGTAGCCCTACAATTTTCCTTATCTGATGATCGATCCCAACTAATCCTTTAACATGCACGAATGACTTCCGATTCAATTTTCTCAAAACGTCTTCAACAATCTTTTTAACAAGTTCAGATTCAGGCCTAGCACAAATATAAAATAAAAGAAAAATCAGATTCAAAATCTAGAGAAAGAGCGCACAAAAGAAAAATGGTTAGAAGCTACCTAACACTCTTGGAATCCCATCCAGAGAGACTTGTTGATTGGACCAAAGCATTTCTCCACTTTGTCACTTTTTCTTTGTTGCGTTTGAACCTTTGCTCCAACTCAGCAAATCCATCTCCAAAACTCCCATTTTGTTTACGAATATTTGCTGGATCTACATTATAGAAAATAGGAATGACAATCCTTCCATTTCTATGGTTGCATTCCATGATGTGAATGAGTTCATCCATACACCATGTCGAAGAAGCATAATTTTCAGAGAATATAATCACAGAGATCTCTGATTCCTCAATTGTTCTCAAAAGAATTGGTGAGATATTATCTCCTTTGGGGAGCTTGTCATCCATAAAAGTTCGGATGTTTGCCTTGCGAAGTGCTTCACGAAGATGACTAGTGAAAATGTCACGAGTGTCTTCCCCTCTAAAGCTAAGAAATACATCGTACTTGGTTGCAGGAAGAGTAGTGTCAACATGAGAAGAAGAAGCCGTGGAAGTAGAATCAACATCATCTTTACAACTTCAGATAGAAAGAAATCATCAACAAATATTGGGTTATCAGCAAATCAAACAAATAAATAGTGAGTAAATGTTTAGAAGAAGTTACCGAGGAGATGTTCTAATAGCTCTAAAAATTGCTACAGCCAACAGCACTGAAGCAATTGCTGCAGCCAACAGCACCGAACCAATTGCTGCAATCATGGTTAGCAATTTCTGCTTCAACCTGAACTAGACCTTGGTTTGTTGACTTTACCTTCTCAAGATAATGATATTGTTTTTGTTAGCTAATTTATCCACCCGTGAAGGGATAAATCCTAAATCCAAACAGAGTATTGTAAATTTAGATTGAAGATATATAGTTAGAATTAATTATTTTAGATCATTAATAAACATCTCATATTTGATGGAGACATGGATTTTAGTAAGAAATAAAATCATATCCTGTTACATTTTATTTCATATAGGGAGTCCTATCAATGCTCATTTGTTACAGGGAGTCCTGTCAATGCTCATTTGTTAATTAATAATTTTTCATTTCCATAATAAAGGTGTACAAATATTTTTTACCAACTATATTAAATTTTATTTTACTCTGCACAGTTAGGAATTTGTTCGAGAATGAAAGAATTAACCCCTCAAGCTTTTCAAAATTCAAACCAACCCAAAAAAAAAAACAAAGAAAGAAAGAAGCGGAGCAGAAACATAATTTGAAGTAAGGAGTGAAATGAAATAATGAAGATGAAATCACTATATATAAACGAAATTGCATGTTTTATGTATGGCAATGAAATGGGGAGTGACTACGATGAACAGATGAGAGAGAGAACAAACAGTTGGCCTTTAGACTTCAAAAAACAAAATAATTATGTCGTTTACTTCATAAAAAAAAAAAAAACTGAATAAAATAAACAAAGACTTTCACAAACCGATCAAGTTTCAAGTCCAACCGCGAATAGTTAAAGGTTTTGCGACTTTTTTTTCAAAAATTAAAGTATTAAAAATATCAAAGGCTCAAGCTTTGTCAGATCTACGATAGTAAGGTGTAGCTAAGAAAAGAAAATAGCAAATCTTGTGCAGATTTTTTTCTGGGGAAAATAGAAGATCAGTAAAAATAAAGCAAGTGGAAGAGAAAAGATATAACCTGAATGGACGTGGATGGAAGAAGCAAAAGAAAGAGCTCACGAGGTCTCGAAAATGGCAGCTTCGACAGAAAAGATATAACCTGAATGGACGTGGATGGAAGAAGCAAAAGAAAGAGCTCACGAGGTCTCGAAAATGGCAGCTTCGACAGGGAATTGCAGACTTGCTTTCCGTTCTCTATTAAAACAAGTTCTTCAGATTCAGAGATCAGAAGATTCCACACCCTTCACTTCTCTTCACTCTCCGTCTTTATATAGTTCCAGGAAGGGAGCTTAGCGTGTGGGTGGTGTTGCCGCGTTGCACGGCTGCTTCATCGCATTGTACCTCTTGGACAGCTTGAGTAACAATGAATAAATAAATTAGTTTACTTCATAAAAACAAATTAAAAGTAAATGAAGACGTGTGATAATATTGATGTCATTTGGAACGAAGAAATGTTTTACCGTGAAATGGGTTTTTCACTGGCTCAAACAAAAAAAAAATATATATATATATATATATATTTAAACATATATATTTTTTAAAGAAAAAGGTAAGTGACACAAATATCACTGTTAAAAAAAACTATAATATAGGTCTTAAATTATAATGAGTATGGTTATATTTAATTTTTACGTTATGGTTCTCAAAGAGAGCGATTTCTTCTTAAATATTTTGATTTAAAGCTCCTCATATTTCCCATCACATTGGACTCCACATTGACGCCCAGTCAACTTTAACAGCTATGCTACTTGTCCAGGCATTATCAAAGATCTCAAGGATAATTAGATTTAGAACTTTTTCAAAAAAATGTAGCCATCATTCATGTACCGGTTGAACTCATAAATATTTTAAAAGGTTTTAATTTTTATTAAAATGTTAAACTCCCCAAAATTAATGTTTACTTTAGTTTTATGGATGTTCTGTTGCTTACTGATTGCAATTACTTCAAAAGCCATCCATTTTCAGTTATTGTCAAAGAAAATTAGAGATGTTACTGTAGGATCATGTTTATATAAAAGTAAATAGTACACCAAACATAAGAGCAATATTTTTAGAATTAAACCGAATACTAAATTAAGAAGGCCAGCTATTTATGGTTTATATGATTTAATCAAATTAGATCAATAATTAAACTAATGATATAATAATTAAATTTAAAAAAATTTTGATTTTTATTAGAATGTTAAACTCTTCAAAATTAATGTTTACCTTAATTTTATGGATACTTTACTCCTCGTTAATTGCAACTATTCCAAAAAGCCATCAGCTTTTTGCAGTTATTAAAAAAAAAATCTTATCATGAGGTGATGTTTATAAAAACGCAAACAGGGGACCAAACATAACAAGTTATGAGATAATTAATTCTCTTCACTTCAAAAACTTTTGTCCATCCTCCCAAACATGCCTTTGTGGTCCCCAGGTCAAGTCGTCTCAGAAATTATTGTCTTGTCAGGGCTCTGTGCATTGCCGCGTTGCCGTGTTGAAAATTTAAAGATTGGAAGGACCCCCACTCATTGATACGATCACATTTCTGGTCCAAAAAAAAAAAAGGTGGGGATGGGAATGGGATAACATTTGAGCGTGATGGTCTCTTCACCCAAACTTTATTAAAATAATATTGAAAATTTTACAAAATTACAATTTTTCAAAATGGTTAAATTAATTGGGAGAATGACATATTGGTCCAAGGCATCAATTAATTCAATTTAAATTTTAACTATCAAACTTTAAAATTTATAAATTCAATTTTTAATTTTATAATTTCATTATAATAAATTTAGAACTTATATTACAAATTTTAATAAAAATAAATTTATTTATTTTTTAAATATGTTAAAAATTTAAAAAAATAAGTTATAAATTTATCACAATAAAATTATAAAATTGAAGACCAAGCTTGTAAATTCTTCAAGTTTAATATTTGAGACTTGAGTTGAATTAGTTGATTATTTTAAAATTTCTATGTTATTCTTTTAAATTATTTTTGTCACTTTTAAATTTTCATCAATATTTTTGAAATTATTGTTCATTAGATTATTGTTCTCCTAATAAGTTACCGGTGGTAGTGATTTATTTTTTAAAAAAGAATCAGATATTATTCTATCCACAAAACATGGAGTGAAAGAGATGAAGATGTGGCATTATAAACAAAGGAAACTGCTTAAATAAAGAAAACTACTATTGCAATAATGCTGACATATCGAGGTTTAAAGGCTTGAAATGAAGTAAGGAATGATTAATATATATGAAAGAAAAGTAGTACATGCTTCTTTTAAATAAAAATAAATTAAAGAAATAATGAGTCAACAAAACAAGTCCTTCCACGTTTATAAAGGTTATGTCACTTTGTTTTTCACTTTTTCTGCAATTGAAGCTAATTTAGACAAACAATGAAGTCTGGCCTTTGATTGACGTGAACGTGATAAAAGGATCAAACAAAAGTAACTAGAAAATGCGACGATGCTTCCATGAACATGACAGGGCTTTTTCCTTTCTTTTTTTTTCATTATTTGTTTCTTTAATAACAAAATACCGGACAAAGCCTTATGAGATACATACACAACATGTTAGAAGACATAAGATTCCCACACATTGTGAGTGGATCATTATTGATCCTCATATTAAGGCAATTGTGATCCTCCAACTGATTAGTAAATCAATTTATATAACAGTTAGCTTTTCTAAAAATATAATCTAACAAAATTAACGATCTAATCGTGCATAATATAATTCCTAATACTTTTTATTACATTGATGAGTGGACAGTTTTGAAAATTGCTCATTAAGAACAGGGTTTAAATTTTAATACAGTTGCAAAATACATTAACTTAGGAATAATTTCCATTCTCAAAGAGATTAGTTCGTAGAGTTTTGCAATAGTGTTTTGTTGAAACTTCAAAAAAATTGGTAAAACTTCAAATTTATTTTTCTTGGTATTATCATGAATAAAACCCCAACAAATAAATGCTTTATTATGATCAACTTGATCATCTACATGGAATCTAATCCATCCCAGTTGAGATGGGAAAATTTGGAGATAGTTGCTTTTTTTTTTATAAAGGTCTTGTCACTTTGTTTTTTTTTTTGACCGTGCAAACTACGAAAGATATTTAGGTCTAGTCTTTGATTGATGTGATAAAAAGGTCAAGTAAAAGTATTTAGAAAATGTGACGAAGTTGTCGATATATTGGTGATGTTTCCATGAAGATGAAATAGCTTTTTATTTTTTAATCACAAAGTGAGGGACAAAGCCATGTGAAACAATAATATTACAGCAATTGCAATCAGTCTGATAAGCACTATGGACATAAATATTAATATTAAATAATATAATATTTAAAATTTTAGATATTTATGTGTTTGTTATTTGTTATTAGTTGATCACTATCATCATTTTAATTTTTAGTTACTTGCAATCATAAAATCAATTTGCTTTATATATATATATATATATATTGAACTATGCAAGAAAATTAATGAGATCATAAAGAATTAAAAATACATTACATTTAAGGTCAATGAAATAAAAAGATGAATAAAATTAATATAACATGAACATATCTTCTTATCCTTGATATATGTAAGACCGAGTGAAAAATAAGTTAAAAAAGAATGAATATATATGTAAAATATACATGATTAATCAAGTTTCAAGAACCTTTCATAAATATATTATGATTGAAATAAAATATGAGATAAGCAAGGACCCTTTATATAATAAAAGAACTAATAATATATAAATCAATTCAAAAAAAATCAACTATTATAAAGATGGAAAAAAGGAAAAAAATAAATAAATAGTTAAAAAAATAAATATATATGTACAAGATACATGATTAATCAAGGTAGAAGAACCTTTCATAAATATGTTATGATTGAAATAAAATATGAGATAAGCAAGGACCCTTTATATAATAAAAGAGCCAGTGATTCATAAATCAATTCAAAAAAAATCAACTATTATAATGATGAAAAAAGAGAAAAAAAATTTAAATAAATTGATTAAAACTTGATCCAAATTTTAACCAAATTAAAAATAAAACAGAATCAAATTGATTTTTACGAAAACTGATCAATTTTTACTCATTAGTAAATTAATTGATTCGATTCAATTTAGCTTTTACGCAAAATCAAACCAAATCAAATTGGACCCTCGAGCACCTTTAAATTTTTCCCATCTAATCTCTTGATTTGAATACTTTTTTCCTCCTGTCAAACATGACCTTGTGGTCACCAGGTCAAGGCTTCCCTACCTTTGGAGGTTGCTGTCAATTGGTCATTTTTGTCGAGGTTTTGTGCATTGCCGCGTTGTCGTGCTGAAAAAATGGGATTAGAATGGCCCACATATTGATAAAATCACACTTCCGTTAAAGGCAAAATAATAATAATAATAATAAAGATAGGATAACACTGGAGATATTAATATTGAGGACTTATTCATACAAAGTTAAAATTCCTCAAAATGGTTAAATTAATCTCGGTATTTTAAAATTTATATTACTATTTATGAAATTATTGTTCATTAAGTAGATTTTTCTCCTAATCAAGTACCAGTGGCAATAATCTACTTTCTTTTTAAATAAATTTTATTCTACTCCCTCCGTTATCTTTATAAATCACATCTTAAAAGATTTTTTTTAATCTTTTATATAAGTTATTTTTTTATTTTCATAGCATTTGATGTCAGATTTCAAATTTCCAAAAAATTCTTCCTAGATGTCAAATCACTTTTTTAAAAATTTAGGTACAAAATTAAAAAAATATTTTTAAAATAATTTTATTATTATAACTATTTCATTTTAATTTTAATGAGTAAGTTTGAAGTGAGTTTAAAAAAAATAGAAAGAATATTCACTAAATATGGAGTGTGAGATGGTGAAGGTAAGGCTGTGCGAAAATCTTCCAATCTTATTTGATCGGAGAAAGTTCGATCCCATCCGGTCTTAATAAAAGTTGATTCTTTAGGATTGAAAAGATAAAAAAGATCATACTGTTTTTTCAAGTTTGGTCTGATTGAAACTTTTTTTCTTGTTGTTGGGAATTATTATGAATTTATTAAGATTATAAGTATTTTTATTATCTTAATTGAATTTATTAAGTTAAAATAAATTATTACCTCTCATAGAGAGGGAAAAAAAAGTAAATATTAAATTAATAGGATTAGTCTCTTAATTTTAAGGGTTAATTTAGGTTATCACTATATTAGACCAAATTAAAAGTTGTTTAATTTAATTTTTTTTATAAAAAAAAATCAGACTTTTAATGAGATTAAAATTCAATTCCATTTAATCTTTTGTGCAATCGTAAGTGAAGGTGA